TATGAAAGGGCTAAGGCATAAAGACCTCCCACCAAGTCCAAGAAGTATATTGTTCCTTTCTATACAAGATGTGCACCAAAACAATTCATGCAAGTTTGCAAGCACATCAAAGAAAGGAAGGAACTAATGAATAGGCTGAAAAAAATAGGGTTTGACAAGTTGGTTGAAGTCTGTTGCCACACAATTCAAAGAGAATTGTGTGGAGAGTTTATGTCTGCATTTGATCTTGCATCAAAAAACATTTCCATAAGAGGGAAGAGAAGGGAAATGAGGGCAAAAGATGTGCATGAATTTCTAGGGCTACCATTTGACGGAGAAGAGATTAAAGTAGTTGTGAATAATGAAGATGAAGTGTTCAAGCAGTGGAGGATTGTGTATGGCAATATTCCATACAAGAAGATAGCATCATTGTTGACTGAGGAGAACCAAGATGAAAATTTTGAGGTGTTGTTTGTCATGTATGCATTGGGAACATTGTTATGTCCTAATGCAAGTATCTGTGTCGGTGATTATTTGTTGAAGGTAATACTATCAACAAAGAATAGATTGGATAAGTTTGATTGGTCCTCTTATGTGTTGCATGAACTATATAAGGGGATAGGAGTGTACAAGAAACAATTAGAAAAAAGCAAGTTGACTGAGAAGAAGAAGAATGTGCCAAGTTGTCTATACTTCCTAATGGTAAGTTCTATAATAATTTGTATATTTCTGTTGTCATTTGATGGTCTGAATGTTGTCAATGGCTGCTGTTAACTTATCATTCATGTCACATGCAGTTATATTGTCTACAAAATTTTCCACTGGGAGAAACAAAAGTTGCACATGTAAAGCATGCTGTTGCATATTGGGATGAAAAGAAAGTGCAGCAAAGAGTTAAGGAGGAGAAGGAAAGCAATTGAGGACTCTTGCATCCGGCAAAGCAATCCACCAAATTTGATCCTGAAAATTTAACTCACCCGGTATGTGGACTTGTAGGCTTAATGATTAATTTTTTGTTTTTTTGTTTTTTTTTCTACTGTTGCTTACTGTTCTGAATTTTATTTGTATAGGAGATCAAAAAGACATATACTCGATTAGTGTCTATGCTGGGGGAGGAAATGATGGCCCTTCAGTCAAGACTAAGGGAGGGTAGTGGCAATGTAAGTGAAGAGGACAAAGATGAGGAAGAAGAATCTGAAGCAGAAGAGGAAAAAGTTGAGAAAGGAAGTGATTCAGAGGATGAGGAAGAAGATCACAGAAATGAAGAAGAAAAATCTGAATCACAAGATGATAGAAATGAAGAAGAAGAGCAAGAAGCTCAATCAGAAAAGGAGATGGGTGGACAAGAATCACATGACAAGGAAAAAGAAGAGGATGAAGAGGAAAAAGAAGGGAAATGAGGACAAAGAAGATGAAGAAGAAAATAAAAGAGAAGAAGAAGAAGATGAAGAGGACAAAAAAGTGGATGAGGCCACCCAAGGGGAAGGGAGCGAACATGTGAGGAAATCTACAAGGGTGATAAGTAAGGGGAAAGCTCTTAGGTCTCCATTTCTGGAATTTAAAAGCAAGGCTGGGAAAAAGAGACAATTGATGACAGGCAAGCTTTATTTGACATGTGTACAGCAAGGTGTAATCAAGAGGAGCAAGAGCAGTAAGTATTATGTTTTGGTGACCAATTTTGTATTATGTTACAAAATTTACTGAATTTACTAACTTCATAATTGTTTCATTTGTGTTAGATACTTTGTATCGATGTATGGATACTTCCTAACCCGTGGTGAGTTGCAATGTCTCCAACGTAGAAGATGGATAAATGACAGGGTGAGTCACACGTACATAGTTAATATCAGAATGAGTTATTGCATGCTAAGGAGTTGTAATTTGTTTGTATTTGCAATTTCAGTTTATGACTATGGTGGCGAAGACATTCGTTGGAGATCAAAAGGAAAAAGATGGGCGAGTTAACCGCCATATATTTTCTGCAGATTTCATACAGAAAATGGTGGTGAATCCTTTAAGGTGGAAATGGGAGGACCATGAAAGAGAAATATTACCTGAATATATTGGATACAATATCGGGGATTGCGATTTCATTTTTGGTCCTACTCTATTTGAAGATCATTGGTTTTGTTATGTTTTTGAGACAAAGACCATGACCTTCCACGCCCTTGACTCGTTGGTTGATAGCATCACATTCATGAGATTACAAGCCGAGGAAGAAGAAGCAAAGAAGAAGGGGGGTGAGCAACAACATGACGCAAAGAAGAAGAAAAAGAGGACAAATAAAAGGCATTTCGACCCCAAACAGTTCATGGCAACACAAACTGTGAGTAGTTATTTACAGCTTTTATACTTGTCAATGACTATTATAATTGTTAGTAGCAGTCTGCATAGTTGTCATTGCATGCTCTGGTAGTTGTCACTGATGCTGTACTAGTTGTCACCGGATGATCTGTTACTTGTCACTGGATGCCATGCTAGTTGTCACTGGATGCTCTGTCCCTTGTCACTACATGCTGTGGTAGTTGTCACTGGATGCTGTGCTAGTTGTCATTGCATGCTCTGGTAGTTGTCACTGGATGTTGTGCTCGTTGTCACTGGATGATTTGTTACTTGTCACTGGATGATATATTAGTTGTTAGTTGTCACTGAATGATCTGTTACTTGTCACTGGATGATATATTAGTTGCCACTGGATGCCCTGTTAGTTGTCACCAGATACTCTGTTAGTTGTCACTGGATGCTATGCTAGTTGTCACTGGATGCTCTGTCCCTTGTCACTACATGCTGTGGTAGTTGTCATTGGATGCTGTGCTAGTTGTCACGGGATGCTCTATTAGTTGTCACTAGATGCTGTGGTAGTTGTCATTGCATGCTCTGGTAGTTGTCACTGGATGCTCTGTCCCTTGTCACTACATGCTCTGTTAGTTGTCACTGGATGTTCTGTCCCTTGTCACTGGATGTTCATTATGTGCGTGTGTGTGTTTTTTTTCCAGATGAACTATTTCCATTCGATGCTACGTGCTGTTAAGCTAGAATTGTTTGTCAATGAGGACAAAATTGACAACGAAGTGAAATGGGCTAAAGTCTATGTGCAGAATGATACGTAAGTGTAGATGTTCTGTTCGATTGTGTTATGTTGTTTTTGTTCACAATAACAATTGCAAGGTGCTAACATATTCAATTTACTTGGTAGTGATTCATGTGGAATTCATGTTATCTCTTGGCTACAAAAGTGGGATGGCACCGTTCGGGATGATGCAGGATATACAATGCCACGATACTCTAATGATGAACTACAAGAGTTGAAGGTTGGCTGTTTGTGGTGGTTGGTAACCCATCCAAATAATGAACATGGGAGTGAAGTGATGTCGATGCTATCGGACTACAACAAGACCAAGAAGAGGAGATAGAGTAGTCTATGAATTTTTTGTTCTCTTAGCCCATGATATGTGTTGTTAAGATGATTAGCAAACAGGTCATTTTGTTAACAAACTGATCAGGTTATGTTTATAATATTATTACCTTTGTCATCACATATTGTAATACTAATTTGTTAGGGTTTTATTACATTTTTAATTATATTTCTATTTTATATGTGCAGAGATATTATGGTTGGTTACCTTGCGTTTAAATTAACAACGTTAGTTATCCAAAATAACAACTAATATAACAGGAGTTAATGACAAATGATATGAGAATTTCATAATAAGTCACAGTGCTCCATTGACAAGTCATAGTGTCCCATTGACAAGTCACAGTGCCCCATTGACAAGTCACGGTACTCCATTGACAAGTCACAATGCTCTCTTGACAGCGACCATTGACAAGGGACAGTGCTCTCACAAACAAGTCACAGTGCTCCATTGACAAGTCACAGTGCCCCATTGACAAGTCATGGTGGCCTATTGACAAGTCACAGTGCAACCATTAACAAGTCACAGTACTCCATTGACAAGTCACAATGCTCTTTGACAGCGACCATTGACAAGGGACAATGTTCTCACAAACAAGTCACAATGCTCCATTGACAAGTCACAGTGCCCCATTGACAAGTCATGGTGCCCTATTGACAAGTCATAGTGCAACCATTAACAAGTCAAGGTACTCCATTGACAAGTCACAATGCTCTCTTGACAGCGACCATTGACAAGGGACAGTGTTCTCACAAACAAGTCACAGTGCTCCATTGACAAGTCACAATGCCCCATTGACAAGTCATAGTGCAACCATTGACAAGAGACAGTGTTGCCATTAACAAGTCACAGTGCTCTCCTGACAGCGACCATTGACAAGGGACAGTGTTGCCATTAACAAGTCACAGTGCTGTATTGACAAGTCATAGAGCTCCATTGACAAGTCATATAAACCATTGACAAGGGACAGTGTTGCCATTAACAAGTCACAGTGCTGTATTGACAAGTCACAGAGCTCCATTGACAAGTCACCGGATAAACCATTGACAAGGGACAGTGTTGTCATTGACAAGCCACAGTGCTCCATTGACATGTCATAGTGTTGTCATTGACAAGTCACAAAGCCACCACTAACAGGGGACAAGGGAGAGGTAAGTTTTTGACACTTCATTAATAATGATTATATATGACCATACAACCAAAATATAATATGACAGAGTGATTGTAAATATCATTTCATGGTAAAAAAGGTTATGTTACTTGAATTCATGTTGTTGACAACTTACATCAGCAAATTCATTGACAAGTCGTAGTGCAATGATTGACAAGTCATTACAGGTCTAGTGACAACTCAGGGTGCAGGTAATGACAACTAAAATGACAGTACAATGTAATATGCCAATTCATAGCCAACTTTCATTTACACCTTCATATACATGAAACTACACCTATTTCACAACCCATCCCAAAAAAAACATAGGGGTTGCATGTAATAATGAAACTAACCAGTGGTGTGTATCCATTTATAAAAAATTTCCTTCACACCCATTTACAAAATATTCCCTTCACATCCATATACAAAAAATAGCTGACTTCAATATGTTCTCAGCTGGGATTTGGGTTCTTGCATGTCTTGGCAGTGTGTCTAGGCTCTTTGCATCTTCCACGATGATAAACCTTCTTATTTTGGAACTGAGATTCTATCCTATTAATCCTTGGCCTTCCTGGAGGCCTTTTGGTTATCGGTGGATGCAAGAATGTTTGGGTTAGCATATGACTCACAGTAGGTGTATCAGGCTGTGGGCAATCATGTGTTGCAATTGGCCTCATGCTATTTGCATATATTTTCTCCTGTGTGGACAATTTGTAACAATCATCTACATAATCATACACACTACGGTGAACTAGTTTGATTGCCGCACAAGCATGTGGACAAGGTATTCCACTCATTTGCCATGCCAAACATGTGCATCTGTGAGAAATCAGATCAACAGCAACATAGATGATGCGTCCCTCACGTATTGTCTGCACCGAAATATGGTCATCACCATAATATGTTGCCTCCATATACGCACCTCTTGCTATTTGTTCCGACAACTTTGATTCAATATTGGGTCCTACACCATTTTTCCAGCTTTTCATCCCCATTTTGCTAGCAACCATCTTCTTGGCCAACTTCTCTTGATGCTCTTGTATCAAAACCGGCAAGGCGTGCTTCCTTTCTTTCAACATCCATGCATTAAAAGACTCAGCAAGATTATTGGTGATGTTATCCCATCTCTTAAAAGGAAATTTACTTTGCGCTCATCTATCCACATCCCCATGAGATTCAACCCATTGTGCCAATTGAGGACAAAACAATCTTAAATTTCCCATTGCAACATTAAACTCATTATCATGCCTTGCATATGCAATTCCATCAAGTAAATTAAGTGCATTCTCCTTGTTATTTTCTGAGGTCCGTCTCACACCTCTATTGATTTTCACATACTGCGCACTATAATTTTCTTTCACATGTCGATAGCAAAAAGCATGTCTGCACTATAATACTGTCCTGACAGCACCGATAATAGCATTACTCTGATCTGAGACAATTGTCACTTGTGCTAATCTGGTTATCTCTTTCAGATTCTGTAGATACCAAGTCCACTCATCATTTGTTTCTCCGCTAACAATACCATATGCTAAAGGAAACAACTCATTGTCTGCATCAAATGCACAAGCTGATAATAAAGTTCCTTTGTAAGGACCACTCAAATGACATCCATTTATATAAATAATTGGTCTGCAACCTTCCACAAAGCCTTTAATTGAGCATCCATATGCAATGAATAGCCTCTCAAATCGATTGCTATCTGAGCCTTCCCATCTTGCAACTGTGTTAGGATCAATTTTCATTAGTCTCTCACACATCCAAGGGATTACCTTATAAGAATCTTCTACTCGACCAAGTAATTCCATTAGTGCTCTCTTCCTAACCCTATATGCTTGAGTATAGTTCAATTGCACTCCATATTCTTTATACAAGTCCTTTCTAATTTCATTAGGACTCTTGTCAACATTGCACCTCAAGTCATCAATCACAATTGAAGCAGCTAAATTTGACCTTCCTGAGTGAGGTACAATTAAGTTGTCCTGTGCATGATGAATGTGTTCACTTTTGTACGTTCTGATAGTTAAAAACTCAGTATCTTGATGTGCTCCCATTGAATATGCACCCATATACCATGGACAACCATCAACCTTGCACTTCACAATGATCTTTTGCTGATTATTCTTAATGAAAAGGTACGAAAACTTCTGGCATAAGCTGTACTTGTATAATGTTTTTCGGAGAGTAGTGGCATTTGGAAATATTTGTCCTTCTCCAATAATCAAATCCTTCCATTTTGTCGAATTTATTTGTGGTGTAGGTGTTGGGATCATTTCAACAGTACCAGGAATTGATTGTGGCTCTCCAATCACATCAAATAAGGTAGGTGGAGACATAGACAATTCATTGACACCTCCAAATGATTGATCAATCCTGCAGAAAATGACAAGTCAGGGTGCATGCATTAACAAGTTGGTAGCAATACAGTAACAACTGACATACTAAGAAATCACAATAACAATTTTGTTCAACTATACTTACACATCTTGCTCCTCCATTGTATTATCCCTTGTTGCTTCTATGTGGTCCTCATTTTCATTTTCTTCGACATACACATAACCACTTTCTTCATTGAACTTTATCAAATGTTCCACCCCATCATCATCTACCAACTCCACAAAAGTTTTTTTATCAAACACAACTGAGAATTTTAGAAGAAATGAGTTGCTTTCTTTTCCAGCAATTGATGATATAATTTCCTTCCATTCTTTATAACTTGTGCCCTCCTTTACATTGGTTGTTCTTACACTACCTCCCACATATCTCATATTATCTTCTCCAGCATTTATAAACTTTCCCCCTATGTGAACAAAGCAAAATAGATATTTTCCAGATGTACTCGCCATCAGTAACTTAAACCTGCATCAAGAAGCACGCAACTGTCATTGACAACTTAAGGAGCTACATTGACAAGTGTAGCGGCACACATTGACAACAATCGCGGCTTGATTGACAACACAGTCCCATTTCGTGCTAAGGGTTTCTACCCTCACTAACCTTCATCTTGTTCTTCCTTTGCCACTAAACTAACGTCAGAACAGAGGAAAACCACCCAAAAACAGAGCACCCATTATCATTCTACACACCCAACTTAAATCACAACACACACCAACCAAAAACACAGCTTTTCCATTCATTAACTTCTGAATCATAAACCAAAAACAAAAGCTTTGAAATACCATCAGTAACTTAAACCTGCATCAAGAAGCACGCAACTGTCATTGACAACTTAAGGAGCTACATTGACAAGTGTAGTGGCACACATTGACAACAATCGCGGCCTGATTGACAACACAGTCCCATTTCGTGCTAAGGGTTTCTACCCTCACTAACCTTCATCTTTTTCTTCCTTTGCCACTAAACTAACGTCAGAACAGAGGAAAACCACCCAAAAACAGAGCACCCATTATCATTCTACACACCCAACTTAAATCACAACACACACCAACCAAAAACACAGCTTTTCCATTCATTAACTTCTAAATCCTAAACCAAAAACAAAAGCTTTGAAATACCAAAGGCAAAAACGATTTTTTGATTTCCCCTTCCCAAACAAATCCAGAATCTGTCAAGAAAGGTAGGAGAGGAGAGAAAAGAAAGTTTCACACCTGAAGATTTGTGAAGATTCACATGGAAGCACTTTGGAGTTCAATAATGGTAATGGAGAAGATATTTCATCATCAATGGCTCATTCTCTCTTTCCCAATGTCTTCTCCCTCAAGCTTATTGCGCGGGAAATCCTCACAAAAGTTCATTCTCCCGTCTTTTTTTTCTGATGGCAGGGGCAGGGCAAAATAGTAATTAGTGGATTCTGAAAATTGCATCTAAGTCCCTTTGGGACTTCAAAAAAATTATCAGATTTCAGGGGACCTATTTGATGTATTTTGTTCTCCATGGGACTTGAATGTCATTTTCCCATATATTTTTGGATATTAACCAAAAGCGTGGAAAAATTGGAACCGGAAACAAATTAAATTGGCTGAGACCCATGTCCCAATTTTCCAGAAATTAAAACAATTTTTTTTTAAGAAATTGGAAGTAATTTCCACAGCCCAAATTTGGTTCAGAAATTAAATCAGAATGTCCCAAAAATTGACACAGAATATCAACGAGTTTTTTTTTTTAACGAAAACTTGGGTGGCCCAAAATCAAGAAGGCCCATTCTGGAAAAAATTAAAACCAGAAAACAAAAGTTTAAAAGCTTAAATTAATGAGGCCAGTTTGAAAAATTCCAAACCCAAAACTGTGAAGCCCAGATTGCAACCTAAAAATCTAGAAACTTTTCTTAAAAAAAGAAAGTAGGAAAACAAAATGCAAATATAAAGCCCAAAATGACAATCCCATTTGCGCTCAGCCCACCTTCAGGAATTACTGAAACGATGTGTTTTACTGCGGACTGAAGAGAATGCCGTTTAAATGGGGCAGGAGAGGCTCCTTCATGGGCACAAAACCACACTATTTTGGGTGCTTCCCAAGGATCCGGGTTAACCTACCTGACCCAACTCCCCTTCGCAACTAGCAGCCAAGTAGCCGGAGCTTCTAATTTCCAGGCAACTTTTTACGGCCATTCTGACGCCATTTTTTTTCCCGGCAGTTTTAATGGTAGAAACAAATAGAAAAACGTGGCAGACAATGTAAAACAATGATTTTGCTATTTGAGGAACAAAATCTTAAATTCACAAGCAATTTTACAGAAGAGAAAAATCGAAATTCAAATATGAAACTGAATGAAACCAAATAATTCATTACTTTAAAACAATTAGTCGCATATTGTCCGCAACACGTGAATTGCGAAATCAAATTTGAGTCCGATTTCAAAAGGCACTTCAATTAGAGATATTTGGATTGAAAATTAATCGAATCAACTATCAAAATCAATAAAACGTATATGAAGCTTGGCTTTTCTCAAATTAATTTTCAAGTATAAAATTAAAATACCATAAAGCATCACATATATATAGAAAATAGCAGGCATAGGAAGATCTAAAACCTAGCTTGATACCACATGTTAGAACAATTCATATGAACACATATATTTATCCAAATAGTCATATAGAATTCTGCAATTATCAGAATAGCAGCGGAAGACTTATAAATACCTCTTGCCATGCTAGATAGTCTGAAGAAACAATCCACAATGCTTCTGGCCTTGATCTGGATTAGAATAACTGAAATTATTCAGATGTTGTTAGTAGAAAAAATATCAGGATCTCTTCTGACTGGGAGGTGGACACAGTGATGGAATGAGAAAGAGCCGCCACCAGTCAGGGAACCTTAAGAGTCATGTATTAGGTTTTCACAGATACTCACTCAGTTAACCGTCAAAAACTTAACCCACCATCAAGGTCAAGAATGACTAAAAGGCACTGAGTCTAGCATCCTACCTGGACTGGGCCTAACTGACTAACGGGCCATACTCTAGATATTTTAATTAAAACAAAATAATATAATATAATAGAAAATATATAATTAAAATATCTTACAGGAACAGCAAGCGCGAGGGTAAAACATCATCAGCGAGCACTTCAACCCTCCAAGAGGCGTCGAGCGAGCGGAAAAGTTGGGGGGGTGAATTTCAGATTTCTTAAAATAGAAAACAAAAGCAGAAAACATCTCAAAATTGTTTTGTGTTTTCAGTTTCTAAAAACAAATCATTGTTTTTTTTAAAAAAAACAATTTATTAAAAATAAGTTTCGAAACATGTTTTTTTAATTAAAAAAAAAACAGACTGTTTTCAGAATAGGTAAACAAACATGCCCTATATATTTTAATTAGCCTTTCTTCTTTGTTTTAAAATCGATCTCCCCTATTAAATATGGTGTTTTTCTTTTGGTTTTTTTTTTCCCCTGTGAGTGTTTCTTTTTTTTTTTTTTTCCCCAATGGGAATGGTGAGTGTTTGTTAATGCTTCACTACTGTCTTCGATTTGGTTACATTATTATCAACCTTAATGTTACAGAAACCTCGGAGTCACATTCAGTATTTTTTCGACTTTGAAAAAAACAAAAAAAACAAAAAAAAGTCGTAATGCTTTGTTTTCTTGACTTAATAGTCGTCCCCATTTATCTATTGAGAAATTTCATTTATGTTTGCAGGGTTGTTTTGATTCCTCTGGCCTTCTTTTCTCACTTGCTTTCCTGCGAACAGAATATTTGAAGCATGAAATGGTATGGATTTAATGGAGAAAGCTTTTATGCCAAAAAATAGAAAAACCAGGGGGAAGCAACCTGTTTGTAAGTTGTTAATTTAGAAGTGAGATTGATTCATTTTTAATACTATATTAAAAATAAAATTACATCACAAAATATTTTAAAGTATTAAAACCCTCAAAAAAAAGTACTATAGATCTTGTCTCTTCTCATTTGTAGAGCAAGTAATAGAAATAAGGCAAACTTGAGGTATTAAATTAACCATAATGTCTAAGTTGGTTTTGCCATATCCTTATACTTCTTCCAGTCCTAAATATAATTGGAGGTACTCTTCCAATTATTAATGCATGACTTAATTAGAGAGTTGTTTTAGTCCTATATGTAAGACCTATTTTACATATTTATTAATTTTCTTTTAACCTTATGATATTTCATTAATGATAATTAAGGAGAAGAGGAAGGGAGAGAATCAGAGAATATGCTTAGGGTATTTTAAAAAAGAATCATATTAACTAATTTAACTAATATTTTAAATATATTCAAATTAGTTAGTCAGACTTAATATTACGAACCAAAGGAATAGGATTATGATTGTTACGTACACGCAGTATATGCAATTTCAAAAACTGCCCGTTGTAAAAAAAATAAAAAAATAAAAAAAAAATGCCTATTGAGTGGGATTGGTGTCACGACCACTACTCTTTTTCGGGGAAAAAAAATCAGGGAAGTTCCAAAAAAATAATATAATTACTAAAAAATTTTAATAATAAAGAGTAATATAAATTTTATTGTCATTAAACTTATCAGTCGCTTGTTATCAAACTTCCTAGTAATTACATATCTTCCTTTTATTGAACTTATCTCAGCATGATCCTGAATTTACTTGGTCTAATAATAGAAGAGGAATGGACAAGGCTTAGGCTCGGTTGGATATGGCCTTGGGGATCATAATCCAATTCTTCTAATTACATGGCCATCTACTTAAAGGCTTAAAAAAAAAAAAATTCTATGGCTAGTACTACCTCCGATCTTTAATATAAAATCTTATTTGACTTTTTATTTTGATATTAAATATAAAACCTTAATCTACTTTGTCTATTATATTTATGCATTTTTTTCCCGAAATAGTCCTTCTAATAATAGTAGTTCTAGCCAATACACTTGATTAGCAAGGATATTTTAGAAAAGACAACACCTATTTATTATTAAAAAACTAACTTAACTTCTATCTTTAATATCTTTAAATTAGTCAATTAACTCTTATAATTAGGACCGGAGGTAGTAGTAGAACAACAAAAACTGTTTGTTAGATGCCTCGAAAAATATGATGACACATGGACTAATGATGGTCAAGAGTTAATGAAGGTAGCTTTTTGTTATTTCAATTCCATGTATCAACAAGCTGATCCAGTTCGTGCCACGACTCATCTTAATTTGCTTGTTTTAAATAAGGATCTCTCTCTCCTCATGACTCCAATCTCTTCTACTGGGGTAAAAGAGGCCGTGTTTAGGCTGCCTAAAGGACCTGATGGTTTTCATATTGATATTAGAAATACTGGGATGGGATTTGGTGCAAAATGAATTAGTCTGCATGGTTAGATCTTTTTGGAATTTAGAGCATATGTTGAGAACATTCAGCAAGACCACCGTCATTTTTAATATCATATGCCCATTGCTCTTTTTTTTTTTTTCCTTCTTTAATTTGAAAGGTCAACTCAGAATTTTGATGCAGTCAGAGAGGCCTTAAACACCAATTGTTTTTTTGTCAGCACAAGAGATTAATACAGCCAAATCCGCTCTTATTTTTCCCTAATGTTCCTCAACAAACGAAATTGTCCTTGTCTCAATTTATTGCTATTCCTTTTTTCTTTTTCTTTTTGGAGATTCGGCAAATACTACCTCCTATTCTTATTTTGGCCCTAAATATAAGACCCCGATTTATTTTGTCTCTCATATTATTTTTTTCTAAAGTAGTCCTTGTAATAATGAGGGTACTATGGTATGGTATATAATTTTTAGGAAAGAGATTGGGCTTACTCATGATCCGAGGGCAGGACACCAAACGATTGATTCATTGAGACTGTCCCTATTGGTACAGAGTATGACAAGCAGGCCTTTTTTTTTTCCTGGCCCAATAGATAGGATTCTTTCAGCTTCATTATACTGTGGAGATGCCTCCTCTATTGCTACAACTGGAGCCGCAACAAAGCGAACCCCCTCCTTTTGATGAGAGGCTCTGACCCTTTTGCAAGCTAAAACCATGGATGAGGAGTCAGTATACCCAAAAAAGATACAAAAGCAAAGATTCTAGACACGTTTGACATAAAAGCAAAGATGTCTTTAATTGTTACAACAAGACAAACACACTTTTAATAAAGGCAAACTTAAAGTAGACTCATGACATAAAATAGATTCCTTGTGGATTATCCTTATCACAAATTTTTGCACGTGGGCTCATGGCTGGGTGACAAATTCATGACATCTTCTAGATTAGAAAGATTAACAATGATATTTTAAAAAAAATAACACTTATTTATTATAAATAACTAACTTAACTATTTTTTTAATCTATTTAAATTAATTTACTAGCTCTTATATTAAGGGACAGAAGTAGCATCCAGGAGCATGGGTTGACCCCTAGAAGAGAGAGTCGATGATTTATCAGTAGGTTCTGCAATCAATTGAAATGAGAACAACTGCTTAGAAGGCCAAATTGTTAAGTTGGTTTTAATTGCTGCTAACATACATGTTCTTTCATGTATCAACTTCCTCAATATATTTATAGTTTTTGGTCTTTGATATAAAAAACTAGTTTGATTTTTAATTTAATTGTAGATATAAGACCCTACTCCGTTTTATTTCTTATATTTATCTTTTTTTTAAAAAAAAAGTCTTTGTAATAGTTGCATATATTAAAGATTCCATCAAATGGTAGTTCTAGCTAATCATATGATTAACAAGGATATTTTAGGAAATTCAACTCATATTTATTATAAATAACTGACTTAACAATTTTTTTTAGTTTACTCAAACTAATCAACTAGTTCTTATATTAAAAACTGGAGATAGTATTAAACAAAGCTCTTTCATCTCCAGACATCTTGAGACGGCACTATCTCAAATTCGCAACGTTTTTGGTCCCTGTCTTTTTGGTTGCTCTCTAGAGGAATCCCTTGAACATTTATGCATCTTGTCCTTCTGTGAAGACGCTATGGTCTGGCTACTTCTCTATAAGGATGTATAATTTTAAATTTAATCACTTTATTTTTGGGTTCAAGCTCACTCTTACTCAGCTTCATAAAGATGGGCATGATGATTTAGTTCACGGTATTATCATCTTGCTTAACACAATCAAACTCAAGCGGAACTTGGCACTACATGATGGAAAGATTGGCCTCCTCCTACGGTTGTGGGGCAAATCTCGCATTCTCAAGCAAGTTACAATCTTGTCAAAGAGTAGCTGTGCCAATTTCCAGTTTGTCAACCGCTTGTCACTCGACAAAGACTGGGCTGTAATCCTTTTTAAACGAAGAGACAGAATTTCACATTGTCATGGCATCACCTGTTTCAAAGGATCTCCAATGCACCAATTCATCTGGATAAGAAAAACCGTCAATCCTCCTTTGTCCATTCTTTCCCGTGTTCATGTAGCACTAAGATGGATACGGGGACTAGTTTTAGTACTCATTATAGTGATAAGTATAATATCTCAAATTTTAAGTTTAGAAGTACAAAAAATAGCTTAAAATAAATAAGCTACCAGACTTTTTTTTGCAGGAGTTTCAAAAATTCTCTGAACAGATAAAAAAATTCTCAAGGACAAAATTACAAAGTGAAAGTCTTCTATGACCAAGGGATAGAGTAAGGTAGAGGAAGTAGTGAAACCTCAGAGGCCAAGTATGATAAATGAGGATGATTATCGGCTAGAAGTTAGGTAGAGACTTCAATGAGATGATTATTGAGGTTAAACCCTAATAAGGATCAAACCGTAATTTTGAAAAGTTTCGAACATGAAAGGATACTGATAGAAAATATACCTGAAATCCTAGTAAATTTTTAAAACACAGGAAATGAGGTATAAAGACCTATTTGAGGTCAAAAATGACAAAAATACCCCAAGAGTAAATCTAAGGGATTTTTAGAAAAACAATTAATTATGGGGATTTTTTCTAATTAGAAAAAAATTAGTCAAAGTCAATTATTTCAATTATATGGAGGCCTCAAATAATCAGGTAGATGAAGATTATAGAAGATTATAAAATTGTTCCCAACCCTTAAAAATAAAGAGATTGACTTTAAAAATATTTAAAGCCAAATGTGAAGGAAATAGGGGTATCTGGAAAATCTTCATAAGAGATATTCACAGGTGAAGTCTTGGTCTAAGAAGAATTAGAAAATTTTCCCATGATAAAAGTGGATTAATGAAGCAGATGGGTGAATTTTTCGACTAGAAAACATTAGGAAATATTTGATTAAAGTTATAATAGAATAGAGTAATTTGATGTTTCCTTTAAGGAACAAAAAACCCTAAAGGTAGTTTCCATCTAATTTTTGTCATCATAACATCATATGAAGCCATTTATAGTGAGTGGGAACTCATCAGTGCTACCAGAAAATTAGGATCCGAAAAAATACCGGATACAGTGCAATATTGCAAGATTACTGGAGAAATAATCTAGGGTTTATTTTTGGACGAAATTTTCTTATTTTCTCTCCATTTTTGGTGCCATTTTCATGAGGGGGTAGTATTGAAATTTTAATAATTATCAATGAGTAAAATTAAAAAGGAATAAAGAGATATATGACTTGTCTTCCAAATTAAGCCAAGACACATTGGAAACTAAAGAGTGAGACACATGGCAAGTGTAATTTCCTCCAACTTCAAGGGGACAATGAAGTCTTTGAGTCTACATGGGGCTAGTAAGAGGTTGACACCTCATTCATGTAATTTTAAACAACCTTAAAGGTATGTTGCAAAAAGAGCAAGAGAAAGAATGTGACAAGTTAAAGGTAGTAAACTTTGCCCTATTCTTATATACTTGGTATTTACTTACATGTATAACATGTTTGTTATGTTTATGTGACTTTATAAACTCATCCATTGTGTATGTGTTAATATTTAAAACATGTCATAGGCTTATGTGTTTATGATTAATGCATTACAGTTTCCAAATATGTCATTATGTTGTGAGAATGTTAAGTTTGCAAGTATGTTATAAATGTTAAGCCATGCTATGTATGTTTGGGTGATAATTGCTTGCTACTAATATTCTCCCGAATCTCATCTTTCTTTAAATAACCATAATAGATATTATGCTTATGGAAGAAGAACGCAAGATGAGAATCAAAAGAAAGAAGAGAAGAATTTGATAAATGTATTATGTTATGTTATGTAACTCCTTATGTTGATGTATTCAATAACATGCCTATTAATGTTATATAATGATGAACAATGAAAATGACATTTAAGATTAAGTATGATGATGGATAAGAATGATTTATGAAATATTGGAATTGTTGTATGTATGCAATGAAATAATTATGAGTTGTTAATTTCAAATAAGGGGATAAACATTTCAACATAAAGCCATGAACTTGAGAAAAAGTTAAAATGATGCAAATGAATAATTCTGCCCTTGAAATTTTATGAGTAACTAGTACACATCATAAGCTTTAAAACAAGCGATAAATCACTTAAAATGAATATTTGCATTAGAAGTTATGATTGCTCAAAATTAAAGCAGAAAAATTACAAAGTACTATTTGACTAAATAAATAGTACATCTTCACATTTTTTTTATATTAAATGAGCAAGTAAATGACCCAATGAGTTTTTTTTTTTCTGTAGAGAATTAAAAGAGCTTTAAAGCGAGACTTGAATCATCTCAACACGCTTTTTTTTTTAATAATTAGTTATAAATTTTTAAAATTAGACAAAAAAAATTTGAAAATTACCAAATGAATAGTAACCCAAGAATAAAAATGTAAGTTTTCAATTCATGGGCTTAATCCATGATTCGCCTGAAGCGTAGCACTTCCGAATGCATACTAAATAGGGTGAAATATCATTTCCTTAATTTTGAGCAACAAACACTGTTGAGAGGGGATTCCCGCTACGACGCCTGACAATACTCCGAAAGATTAGTCTCTCACCGTTCGGGTGGGAAGATACTCTGGGCAACTAAAAAATAAAAAGGGTGAAATAACGAATGTTTCAATGAGCACCATGATACTCATTGCTATTGAGATATATTTTTAATACTTTAGATTTAAAATTGTTAACTAGTGATTTTTAAATAAAAATTATTTTTTTAAAAACTTAGAGTTAAGATATTACATCTATTTTGGATTATATATTTGTTAAAAAAAATTATTTTTAAAAACAAAAATATTAAATGTTAAATGTTAAATTTTGGTCATTTCGTATTAAATTTAAATAATTAAGATTCAATGAGTATCATAACACTCATTATTATGATAAGCACTGAAACTGATTCTGACAGATATACCGACTTAATATCTCCTCAAACTCTAGTGCTCTAAAACTCATCATGGTCAATAAGACTGTACGTGTCTCCAAGCAAATTGGCTCCTCTCCTTCGATAACATTACAGCATGATATCTTTTACATGAAGCAAAATTTCCCCGTTTCGAGGACTTGCCATAAGAATTTGTTCTTTTCTTTATGTAGTTAGCATTTTTGTCTTATTTCTTACTTTGTACTCTAACTCATCTTTTTATGATAAACCATTTTGTCTTTTACCAAAAACAAAAATTACATAACTCCTTTTGGGGATCCTGGAGTAATTTTTCCTTTTTCTGAAACAAAAAAGAGACATAACAGGTGCGTCATTTGTTTTAACGGTTGTATTTTCTTCTGGTAGAATTCATTGCTTCTGTCAGTTGGCATATGTAATTACGTACGTACGTAAGAGAGGACTAGTAGATGAAAAATTATGAAGAGGTTTAAATTTTTTTTGGGGGGGGGGGGGGGGTAACAGTTACTAAGTCCCTTAATAAATTTGAGCCAAAAACACACGATAGATTATAAATTTTCCAACTCAACTCACAAATATAGAAAGGCACATGAATCTCCTATATAACTAATTTGCATATCCTGCATTGATGGGAAACAAATAAAAATATGTGAATATAGAATTTTGAAAAAGAAATTGAACGACAAATATTATTTATAAAAGAGATAGTCGGCCTTAAATTATAAAAGAATAAGCTATTTGTCCTTGACACTATGGTTTCCTAGAAGTGGCATTTCTTTAGCCATCGTAATGGAAGGCTCTTTCCGATGTTTGATATTTGATGGAAGTGAGCTTTCCAATGTGATTATAGTCTACTAAACACACCCAAAATAATAATAATAATAATAATAATAATAAAAGCTCTCCTCTTCCTTGCCTGAAACTAATTACGAAGACCCTAGAAGTCAAAAATTAACAAAAGACACAAAATAACACCTTGAACCCAGAAATAGAAAGCATAACAGACACAAATCATGTCACATTGAGAAAACCCTAGAAGTCAAATTTTGCAACGAGTATTAACAACTTCTAGTGCTCTTAACCTTCTTTTTCTCCCTCGTCTTTACAAAACTGAGAATGGAGTCTAGAGAAACATCAAAATAATGAATTGACTCACGAGATATCCCCACTGCATATGTTGAGGATTTTCAAATAGTAGAAAATCTGCAAGAACCACCACCATGAGCTATCACACTAAGTTGGTAATTTACAGTTTGATCCTTCAAAATATAGAGATTCAATTTCTGGAAAGAAAGGTAATTAAAAAAACCTGACATTTAAAATAATACAACTCGAATGCATTGCCAATGAAGTTATCCAGCGTCTGCTTTTGGAGAGGATTAATTACTAAAAAATGTGGTCATCGCACATCTGTTTATTTAAAAGAAGATGAAATCAGAACATATCAATTAGATGGATGGCAGGCATAAAATTAACCAAAAGTTCGTCCTACACAGCTAAGAAGGCTCCACATACCCGAGACAATGTGTATCATAATTTTCACTTGGGTGAAGTAGAAGATAAAACCCCAACTTGTATTAATGGGCGGCCTGGAAGTTTTGTCAATTCATGGCTTCCTTGTAGAAGGGCTGCTCTTTGTGGATTTGAAAGCATCAGTTGCTGCATGTCCTTTGACAGCATATTAAAAACAGCCTGAAGGTCTGCCCTTAGCTTCTGACAGCTAGCTGGGAAATCTACACTAGCCCTTCCAGATTGTTGCAGCTACAAATTGAAATTAATTGAAAAATGTATCAAAACACCAAAAATGTTTCATTTAAATCTTGACCAATCATATCGTACAGCATATAATATCCTTTAGAGGTTTATGCAATGAATATCCATGCAAAGTTATATGTAACTGTTGAAACCCTTGTTCAGACGAGCAAGGGCATGCTCAGCCAACAAAAACAAATGGTGTAAAATGAGACTGGGTCAAACTAAGTTCTTTCCTCTCAGTCCAAAAAACAAAACAAAAAACTACTCTTCTCCGTTCAATGCAAAATCAAAGAGTAAAAGATAAATAATCTCCCCAAAAAAAAATGAGAGAAGTGGGAAAACATATGATGATGCTCTAGCAGAGTGCACACTTTTTTTTTTGTGGTTTTTTTTTTGGGGGGGGGGGGGTGTTGTTGTACAGGTATCGTGTACCAGTTGCATGTAAAAAGTATTAACATAAATAAAACACCAAATGCTTTGATAGTCAAAAACAATAACCAGCTGCATATTAATAGAGCATCCTGCATTCATGTCTGAAAGAAAACTAATATTAACAGCATATCATCAGTGAAGGCCACTGAAGAGCAAGTTACCTGCACTTCTTCAACAAGAAGTCTCTCTATAGCATTGAAGGAATCCACAATTTCCAACTCACTCATTTTAGATAGAAGCTGTTGTATGTCAGTTGTCATTCTTGAATGCCTCCACGATCTGTCTTGCTCTTGTTCCGCAACAGCTTGCCTTCTCTGAAACCATGGCAAAAAGTTGGGTCCCTTCAGAAATCGCCTGGTGTGAGAAATTAACCACATTTAATTTCAAATTGTTAAATCATGCAAATGAAATATAGAATCAAATGGTTCAAAGACTTAACATCAAGGCTATAACGTAAACTACAATAATAAGGAGAGTGAAATAGTATTACATAATAAATACAGCTAAGAAAATCCACTACCTATATAAATCAAGCCAGTTGGATCTCATTCGCTTTGATAAGAACTTCCCTGGACCTCTAGCAGATAAGCTTGCAAGAAATTCTTCGGCATGAAATGGAGGTAGAGGTGGGGGATCTGCAAAAGGAGAAGTTCCTTCTGATGGTGCAGTGGTCCTAAAATATGGACCAAAAGGGGCCAAAAAATTTGTAGTGAGCTCCAAGAAATGCCTCCTTAATATCTCATTGTTAACAACTGACATTGACTCTTCAACCCTTGGCAGCATCCCGGCATCAATAAGCCTATTTAAGATAGCAGTGTCTGGCTTGGTTGTGGCAGAATAAGTACTCCAGATTGCTTCCTTATGTTCTGTCATGAGGCAAAGAGGACCATCTCTCCGCAGCTTAACTGCATTCAATAAACTTGAAGGAGAAAACTTCTTTAGAGAAAGTTGTTGAATCCCAAGACCTTCATTTCTGCCAGTGGAAGACCTACTTGAAACGGTGAACCTGCTTGAATTAGGAGGAGGGCTTCCAACTGAGACAACGTGGGGGATGCTGCGGAGGGCTTTAAGGAAAAATAGGTTAGTCACCCCCAAGACCATTGCGGGAAAAGTTTCACCTTCTTTTATGGTGTTTAAGCGTGCAAATAGAGGATCATGGATGGTAAAATATGGCCGGAAATCAATACTGCAAAGTAAGGGGGCAACCAAACTCACAAGACTGGCCACAGCTTCACAACACTGAGGAGGTGTGGGGGAAATGACAAGAATGGGTTCACCAATAAGTAACAACTCCCATAGCAACCAAAGCTGCAATAAAAGGCCTCGGAATGTACCAAAAATATCTGAATCATGAAAAAGACCTTGCGGGATATACTGGTTATTAGGCAAAAAGGGTGCCACTGAAGAAGCAGACTCTTCAAAAGATTCACCACTTTCAATGGGCAAGCTATAAGCAGGCGGCAAGTACACTTTGAGAGTTGCATTCCCGATTGGAAGATCCATTAGCTTACCGGGAATAGGAGCTGGCCATGTAGAGACATATGTAGCAATGTGCTCCAAAGCTTTCTTGCCAATGTCAAAATACAGGGGACCTATAATTTGTAACAAAGGTCTGAACACACTAGAATATGGATTGTGGGACAAGATGACCACAGACTTCTGCTCACCTCCTCGCTTTAGCCTCTCATCATGTCTCTGTCTATTAAAGACATAGCCATACATGTATCTAGAAGCATTGACATTATTGCTACCTGAGGTTCTACTGAGATTGCTTTTGTATATGGATTTTGAAGGAAACCCCCCGTCAACTTCAGTAATCTCAGAATGAGTATCATTCACAGTTTGTGATTTTAGCTGCCCGCAAATTCGGAAAAAGAAAATAGAATCATGAATGCTTGAACGGTTTTGCTGCTGGGAAACAGAGTCTGGAAACGAACTATAAGCAATGTTTAGCTCCTCATCACGTGTAAGACAGCCTGGAGGATAACACTCTTCTACGAGTTGACCTTGTTCAAGATCAAACCTTATAGCACAGAGGGCAACAATCCACTGTTGTAATGATTCTAAGTCAATACCTGGACTTAGTTCTGTTTTACTAGATAAAGCAGCAGCAGACTGGCTCATGTTTAGAAAACAATAGTATGAGCTTTTATAAGTTAAAAGACCCTCTGTTTCATTTTAGACAACCATTATGTGCTAGAAAACCAGCAGAATCTTCATTGGCACTGGGGACAAGAGGTTTAATGAAAACTTCACACTTTAAAGTTCCCTTGATAATGAAAATTTCATGTTTTCAACTTCTCTTGATTGTCTCTACGTAATCAACAACTTGAATCCTGAAAAGGATACCAAAAACATGTATTAGTTGGCAGATAAGATGCTACTTTTAGGGAAAAGGAACAGTAACATAAAGCATATTTTGGTAATCAGCAAAACCCAAAAGAGATAAAGATGGGCATGTATCAACTTTCAAACTACAAATTTCTAAAACGATATATAACAGTAGCAACTCAAATTCAGACAACACTGCCCAGCTGCTTCACTCACCCTAGCCAAAGAACCCATCAAGTCACCATCACTAAGCATACACAAGATCTAAAATTTCACAAAGATCATCCCATAAGTTTTCTCAACGCCCTATAGTGGGTTAGAAAGAAAAATTTACTGACTCATACTATGAGTCCCAACATCATGAAGGTGGTTCTCAGCACAGTACCTAGACGTAGGAAGTTGGTAATTCAGGAGATGTCCTAGAATGAATCCATCTGGAACGCCAAGAATGAACAACCAAACCCATTGAACAAACCAAATATCTAGAAAAATCAACTTAAATGAGAGTTTCCAAACTCGGACAAGAAATTGAAGTTTTAATTTTCAGGTTCCCCCCACCCCAAAGCCTAACCTGCAGCACAAAAATCCCAAACCTTAACCTTGAATTCTAAATCTTGAAATCCAAAACATTAAATCTAAAACCCAAGCCCCAACCCCTAAGCCCACCCCACCCCGGAAAAAAAAAACACTTAAAGCCTAAAACCTGGAAACCTGAAACTCAAACGTGACACCCTAAAACCTGAAACCTGAGCCCCGAAAACACAGAACACTAACAAAAAGGATTAAGGGTCCATGGTTAAAAATTGACACAACTGAGAAGATGCAAAAAACCACATTAGCAAGAACAAAATCTAAGGAATGAAAATAGGCTACCTCCACAATTGCAACAATAACAGCAAAGACCAATGATGGAAGATGACAATAATGACAATGCCTAGATATAAGTGTTCAAGATCCCCAATTCTTTTATTGCTTCCGAGAAGCCATGACGCAAATAACAAGGTTTAATTCATGCACTTCCAAAATGACAATAATGAGGAAATGAAAGAAGCAAACTTAAGTTCGTGAGTATAATTGATTCACTGCCAGGAGAAATCACTAATTAAAAGGCAGCTGTAACTACATCAGCAAAAGAGCCTCCAGATATTCAAGAAATCTCATTCTCACTGCTAACAACAAAGCATGTATTACTCTTATTTTGTCATCTTAGTTTACAAGCATGCAAATCATTAACCAATAGAAGCATTAATCATCTATTAAAAGTTACAAGTATTTTTGCTAAGAGACAAGAAAAGTAAAGAAAATGTAATACTCATTTCCAAAGATGTCTATTACAATGCCATATTTCATTATTTATATTAATGGAAGGGTGATTTAACCGACCGCATCTTCCCAACTAACATTCCTGCCATATAAATATTTACTTCCTGCCCCAGAATGATGCTCTTATCTAGAAATTCGAAAGTGCATTAGGACAGCTTTTTTCTAAAAAAGAAGACAAGGTAGAAAAACTGTATTATTTCATCAGAGACTTAGCTCAAAATGTTCAGCTGACCCATGTGTTTTCCCTGCAGTACCCACTTGCCAATGCTGAATCCATATTCTAAATTGATCAGGCCCAATTTTCATTCAATAGAGTCTATCTCTTTCTGTGAAAAAAACCCATTATCCCTCACAGCTTGATAGAACCCTTTTTCCTCATCTTTGATAACACTAGTTCTAATTGTGATGCTCCAGCCCCAATGTTTACACCATGATCAAATTTGAGTTTTTTGAAACTCTTATGACCCATAGTGACAATACTGCCCAATATCTTTTGGCAGAATTTTGCCATCAGGAAAACAAACCCAATCTCTCAAGCATCAAACAACCAACGTCCAGGTTGCATCATTAGTCATTGATCAAATGGCCAAAATATCTTCAAAGGTCAATGACCGTTAACATATGTACATATCAAAGGCAAAGGAAGTTTGATTATATCCCAGGTAGAGCCACACAACCCAACAAAGCTGATACAAAATTCAGTGAGCTGGATGCCAATAGTATGATACATACTAAGCTAATTATTTCATTGGCAACAAAGACTAGAGAAAATTTCATGTTATTACCAACAGCCTATGAAGTGTGGGAAGGAATAAAAGAAAGCTTCACATCCATGAAGAGCCAAGCAACGCTCCTTAGCATTAAAAGGTTCTTGCGCAACTACCAACAAAGAAACCAAACTGCAGTTGCATACTTATACACTAATTCAATACTGGCAGCAGCTTGAACTCTACAAATTCCATGACTAGTCATGTCTCACAAATGCAACTCATTACAGCATGATTAAAAACAGAAAAAAGGAATATAAATTTCTTGAGCCTTAATTCATTCTATAGTGAAGTTTGAGGAAGAATTATGAGCATAGACACCTTGCCAAGATTTAGATAAGTATTATTACCAGCCAAGCATGAGGAAAGTCAAAGGAAATTGGTGGTTATTGATCAGAAACAGAATTCAAAGAATGAATCAGTGGCTCTTGTCATGAGAGGAGGTCCTAACAATTTAAGGTACATCAAGGGATCGAGAGCAAGTGCAGAGCAACAAATGACAATGATATACTAGGAAGAAAGTGAGTACTAGAGCCAAATCTAATTATTCATGCCCCTGCTCCTTCTCCAGAATCTGAAGAAGGCAAGATACATGATCTAGATGTTCCTATTGCAGTGAGAAAGGGAGGAGATCATGCACAGGTCACCCTATTGGCAACTTTATTTGGTAAGATTGCCCATCATAAATCATTTATTGACAATATCTCAAATGAGGAATTGCCTCAAACTATTGATGAAGCATTTTAGAATGAGTTGGAGGCATTAGAGAAAAATAAAAACTTGTCAGTTATTGGCTTACCTGAGGGAAAGAAACCAGAAGGGAGTAAATGGATTTTCACAAACAAGGAGATGCAAGCATAAGAAGATGCAAGGCAAGACTGGTAGCTAATAGGTTCGCTCAAACATATGAAACTGACAGCTCAGAAGTGTTCGCAGCTATAGCAAAATTTAATGCCTTCAAAGTCTTACTCTCAAGTGCAGTTAAACTTGGTTGCCCATTACATCAGTTTGAGGTCAAGAATGCACTTCTTAATGGAGATTTAAAGAAGTGTTCATGTGCATCCTGGTGGTAACAAAGAGTGCAAGTTCAATATTCTGTGCTATCTTAAAATGACCCAAGGAATGGAAAATTTTTCAAAAAAGAAGACAAAAGTGTAGTAGCATATACAGAAGTGACTTGGGCAGGGTCAGTTATAGATAGAGGACCAAACATTTTTTTTGGGGCCTGAATAGAGGACCAAACATTGGGTGTCTGATAGAGACCAAGATAAAACAGTAGACAAGTAATGCTGAAACTGATATTAATCACACAAAAGGTTGGGTTCAATACAATATATAACCGGCACAGTTCACACAGGAAACAACAAAGGTCACTCAACTCACTAGCACACTAAAATACACACTGAAATACAAAGAAAATGATGAAGAAAGACTCTCTTCCTCCACCCCTCACCTGGCATTCGAGAGGCCAGCACTCTCCTCACCAAACTCAGTCCAAAAAATAAGTCCCCCTTCCACTGAGAACCCAACGAATATTAATACTCCAAAAAGTGATCCTCACAACCCCCAATACAACAGTTTCCTAGGTCAGGCCTATAGCCACCCTAGAGTAACTAATATGCTCAATAACTTTCTCTAAAAGACAATAAAGCTTGAGGCCAACGTCCAGGGTAGCAGAAAGTGATTTTACTCTTCCATGTATCTTGCTAATTTTACTTTTATAGGTCTGGTAAATAAAGCTGATTCTATCAGTGTCACAATTATGTCTGTGAAAAACTCATTAGATGGCATAGTAAGGAGCAATCTATTGTTGCCCAGAGTAATTCAGAGGCAGAATACGAATGTTGTGTATCAATGTTTCGCCATTGTATATTTATATATTGAGGCCTTATGAATGAATTATATATTTCGGAGGAGTAGATGGAAGAAAAAAAATCCCCAATACCAGGCATAAGAACTCACTATTGCCCATTTGTTAACTCTCATCTTACTCTGGACGTAAACCTCTGATTTTTTTTTTTCCCCATCACAATAACTCAATTTGGAGATTTTCATTAACGTGCAATTTAATTATTAAGATATGTTGGAAATAAATCATGTAATCTGGCCACGTCAATTCTTAGGACTTGAATAAAACAATCTAGCATTCAAGTGATAAGAATATTAAAGCTTATGTTCTTATCAGGTATCTTTTTGGATCATAACACATTCAGCACGCGAAGCTTGTCCGACTAAAAACAGCAGTCATCAAAGCTTGAGAAGCCAAAGAATAGCAATACCATTGGGATGTACCAACTAAAAGGAGTTCCATAGGCCAATTTCATGCACCCCAAATAAGTCCCATTAGTCATCAAAATTAAAAATCAAGAGCCTCAAAGACGCAAGGAAACGGTTTCACCCCTTATATATATAACTCAAAGTTCAGTTCAATTTGGCAAAGCCGCGTAGACAGTCACAGCGTAAGCATTGGATACTATAATAATCGAATAGATGATTCTATATAAAGAGAAGTCTGCAGAGATCACCTTGATTTGAATAAACTTTTAGTCGACACCCAAAAGGGAAAAAAAAAAAAAAAACAGAAGCTGCAGGATCAAAATCCCATCACAAGTAGATCCGTAAGAAGTAAATTAAACTGGTGAACAGGACACCCAAATTGGCAGGTAAAATAGATACCTTTTCAGTGATGTCATTGTGATACCGGATGTTCTTCACTCTTCTTCTCGATCCCTCTACATCTCCCTCCTCTGTTCTCTCGGCCTCTCCTGAAATATTCTCTGCTCTTTCCTTCCTCCCTTTCGTTCCTTCTCTTTTCTTTCTTATAGACAGTCTCTCACTCTCAACCACTCGCCTCTGTTTCTTTTTTTTTTCCCTCCGTCCGGAGACTCAAACTCCCACAGCCTCCTCTATTTCTCGATCTAGTCCCCTTTTAACCGTGACATCGAGCAAATCTCCCTCCAAATCTGAAAAGCTTATTGGTTCTCTCACGCCGGAGCCTACGTCACCTGCTTCCTCTGTCGCCTGCGCTGCAAGAATAGTGGGCTCCCGCCGGAGTTATGCGGCGCATCAACCACTTCTTTTTTCCCCTTATTTTCTTCTTAGAAATTTTCATTCCATTCGGTTATTTTTTGGGAAAAAAAGTAAATAGATTTATATATATATTTATTTATTTTGTTTTTTTTTTTACCCCTTTCTATAAGAAACTTTTGAGTTTTCACTTTCCACAATCCTTTTCTATAAAGAATTTTGCATATTTCTAAAAGTATCAATTACTTATTTTTTTTGTTGAGGATTTTGATCTTAATTTATATATAGAGAGACAAAACTACAATAACTTATTAAATTTTATTTTGAAAAAGATCACTTTAAAAAATAATTAAAAAGTTAATTAGACTAACGGATTTCAACTACCTTTAAAGATATGAAACTCTCATAACTTTTTTACTATCAGCTCCTCCTCTCTCTAATTTTATCAGCAGCCATTTAGAAGTTCATTTTCGAGTGCTACCACCTACCAGTCATGGAATGGCACTGCAAATTTTTGTGTTTTTCTTTTACTTTTTAGTTACTGTGTTCTGTTAATGAGGTCTGTTGGCTCTCATACTCCTCCAGTCCTTAATATAGGACTCAATTGTTGAATTGGTTTTGATCCTAAATATAAGACCCATTTTTATATTTATCAGTTTTCTCTAAATTACCCCTATAGATACTTCCTCAACCATAATCAAGTAGAAGAGGGAGAGAGGGTATTAAGAAAGATAATTATGATGTTTTAGGATAAACGTCACATTTCTTATAATTAACTAACTTACTTAACTTCCTTAACCTAATCAAATTAGTTAAATGAGTTTTATATTAAGAATTGAAGGAGTATTTTTTTTTCTTTTTTTTTTTAATGATAACTGAAAAACCAAAATAAAAAACAAAGTACAGTGCAATACCCAGTCTTAAGAGCCTTCATCACCGTCCGTCTACAAATCAGGAGGAATATGATCAAGGATACTATTCATCCCATGAGAGAATCTAGCTAGTTGGAATCATCTCCTTTTTGTTGGGCCATATTTTCAATGCTACTTGATTTGATCATCTTTCTATAATTTATGGTAATTGTTGTTATGGTTATTCCTGCTCCTAAATTTTTCCAATTGTTTTTCTAATATCTTGAACAAATTTTTGAAAATCAGACTAGACCGATCTAACGACCACTTGCTCGTTCAACGTTGTGGCTCGGTTTGTAAGTTTAGACTTTTCGAATGGTTTACCTGAAAGACGGCATTGAGCCCAAAACCCAAAAGAGGTCGAAGTTTCTTTCTTTACTTAGAATCAGAACAAGAAGAAGGGGGAGGAAGAAGAACAGAGGGGGAGATGAGAGAATGACAACAGCCCACTAAGAAAGGACAATAAATCAAGTTGAAAACAAACAAATCTAGAAAAAAGCCAATTTATCACAAATGTAAAAGAGGTAGAAGAAGACAGAGAGAATGAAATGAATGGAAGATGATGATAAAGAGATGGGGGTGAAAATGGAGTGCTCTGGCCAATTGAAGATGATGGAGCATTTTGAATCTGGAATAGCAATGAAGCTTCTGGAATGTGTTTGAAAATGACGATGGAGAGAGATAAAAGAACCAATATTTTTCACCTTCTCTTCTCTGCAGCTTATGGATTTGAAATCAGACGTGGATGTGGCTCCCTTTATCTCAAACCTAAATCTTACAATTTGGCTCCTCTTTCTCTTCCCCTCCTCGGAAATCCCTCACACTCCAAAGGACCAATATTTTTCAATTGAGAGAATAAATATTTTAATCTCAATGTTACATTCAATCATCATTCTTCGTGGAATTTTCAGATTCAAAGCGATTTGGGTTGAAATTTTTTAAAAAACAAATCTTTATTTATTTAATATTTTTTAATTGAGAGAATTCAAATCCTATAGTAAACTAAGGATTTTGACGGAAAAGATGTGTAGCTGGAGGGAGAAATTATGAAGGCTAATACAAATTAGGAGAGCGAAAACTTGAAGAAAGAGAATAAAGACCACTGAAAAGGCTGGGAACAAAACAGAGAGCCACAACAGGGTGAGACAGGCAAATCCATGAGTTCTAGAGGCAGGAGACAAAAATGGCGTCGTTTGTGAGAGGGGTTTCAATATGGTTTTTTTAGGGGGTGTTTGGATAAGAACAAAATCATGGTTTCAGAAGTACTTTTACGATATACGAAGTAAATATGTGAAATAGTTTACTTTAAATTGCGGAAAAATACTTCTGAAAAGTAATTGTAAGATTACCTAAACACCTTTTTAGTCTTTTTTTTTTTTGGTTGCCCACCCAATTCACTAGAGCTTTGCTCCGACTACATTTGGATCCGACCCGCGTCGCGCACCTAGTTGTGGTGGGTGAGTCTCCCAACAGGGATTTCTGCATACGATAAGGCTCGAACTCGAGACCTCACTTAAGCGGTACCAAGCCGCTTACCACTTGGATCAATCCAGTTGGTTTTAATCTTTTTTGTTTACTTGCTCGGCGCTTTGAATCTTAATCAAAATCCAAGTTGGCAAAATAACCCAAAGTTAACACATTACTTTTTATTTAACTATTTTAAAAATGAAAGATTAATAGATGTAACTGCAGAAACATCAAATGAGGTATTTGCATGAAATCAAACCATGGTTTGAAGAATAACTTATGGAGAATAAATTTTGTGAAAAATAGATTTTGTGGAAAAGTGATTTTGATAAAGTGAAATTATTTGGATAATTGTTACCAGAAGTACTTTTTACATATACAAATTACTAAAAAAAAGCATAAGTTAATATGATAATTACGTAAAACATAGATTTTATAATATATTTTAATTTGAAGGAATAAAATTGTTAATAATATATTTTTACCAATATAATTAATAATACATAAGATAATATAATTAATAAATAATTAATATGTGTATATATAGTTATGAGATAAAAGATTAAATATGTTAATAAAAAATAATTAAGGGGTGTTAAAATCATATTATTGTTGAAATCTACTTTGACAGACACAATCATACTCTCCAATTTGAGCCAGAAGCAGAATGGATTCATTTCTCCTGAAACCATGGTTTTAGACTCCAAAACTATGGTTTTAACCCAAACTATGGTTTCGGATTATTTCTCCCTGTTTGGCTCACTCTTTTCCCAAACTATTATTTGGGATGATACCCAAACACCCCCAAAGACCCAATAGAAAAGATAAAAAACTTTAAGGACTTGAATAAAAACAGAGGCAAACTATAAAGGTCAAAATTAGTTTTTCCTTAATAAAATTATCTTCCATTTAAAAAAAAAAGTGAAACTCTCTCGTGAAAAAAAAAATGAATGGGTAAAATTTAAAAAAGAAAAAATAATTCTTCCACCCACATACTCTACTTTGTCTCATAACAAGTGAATACAAATTCGGATTCATAAAATAACAATAAAAGTTATGTTGCTCAATTTTAAGACATTTTGTTGATTATATTTTTTTTAGGACTACAGGAAAAATGACCGTATGATTCCTGTAACATCTGCCAGTTTGCAACGTTGGATGCAATGACTGGGCATCATTATCGCGGGGACGCGCCTGAAATGCGGTGTTTCATTCAAGCACTGTAGTCACGGCGAAGAGACACGCTTGCCGCGGCGAAAGGTAGAAAACTTGTAAATAGGTCACGTCGTCACTTTGAATTTTATTTTAAAAAGGGGAGTTTTGCTCTAAGGTTTCCTCAAGGCAGTTCTATGACGAGTTTGCAAACTCTGGGAGTAACAATAAGCGATCTCAAACCCTCTGTACTGTTTTTCTCCTTGTTTCTCGTTTATTAGAGCTGGGACAAGGGTTAGGCTTGTGATTTTGCCCTTCAAATTAGAAAAGAACCAGCCCTAATAAGTCAAGAACTCAAAAGGGTTGGCTCGTTTAAGTCTTTTTATTATTTTTATTTTTTAAATTATTTACATGATGCTAGTATGATTGATTTTTTTTATTGTTAATGATATTGTAAATATTTAGTTATTATCATCTTTTTAAAATTGAATTTCATAAAATGTTTTGGTTTTATTTGGTTTTAGACAAGATTTTTTTATTGAATTTTAAAAAATGAGTTAATTTGAACTTTAAATAATAATTTAATTTATACTATGTGTTAATATTTTTAAACTATATATATTTAATAAGAGAATATTTTTATACTTGTAGCTTGTAATTCCATAATTTGAATTAGAAATTTATGACTTTCAATTTTAATGTATCTCAAATTACAATAAAATAATAACTAAACTACAAAATTTAAAAGTAAAATTTATTTAAAGAAGAAAACCTTAATATTTTTGTCACTAAAAAAAAACTTACTCATAATAAAGCGAAATCAAATCTTGTTTATATTGAAGATCATGATGAAAATTATGTTGATGACACTGCTATTATTTACTGCTTAGTTTGGGCTTTGTATAATATTTAGGACAATAACTTGATTGGTCAGTTTTAGAAATTTGGATAACAATTTAGTATTTGTTTTACAAATATTAATTATTGGAAGCTTGAATTTTATAAGGTTTATTATTGGGAAAATGACAACAAAATACCACCTAAATTTCAAAAAGATAAATAATGCACCTGAATAAGCAAAATGACATATATGGGACTGGGTACCAATTTGGAATTCAGATTTTTGGCCAAAAGACCCAAATGCCCTGTCTGAAAGTGAGAGAAGGGAGAGAGGAAGATGCTGATGAAATACGGGAAGAAGGAAAGAAGAATGTTGGAAATACTATTATCTTACTCCTCCGCATCACCATTCTGTAGAGATTGTTGATTTGGTGGGTTTTGGTTGTGGGAAAGAGGATTTGTAGTGAATGATGAAGCAGAAATCAGAAAACAATGGCAAGCAATTGCATAATGTAACTGCTGTCATATGCCTGCGGTTTTTGGTAAATCCCATTACGTGAATGGTAAATTTTATTATACATGTAATTAATTATGAAAGTTAATACATTGCCCTGTCTGAAAGAACTCGTACTCCCTGATATTGTCACCGTCAAAGAGGTCGCTGAAGTAA